TTTGAGACAGAGTCTTACTCTGTTGCCCAGGTTGGAGTGCAGTGGCACAATCTGGACTCACTGCAAACTCCGACTTCCTGGTCCCAGTGATTCTCCCTGGTTCAAGTATCTCAGCCTCCCAAGTAGCTGGGATTATAGGCACCCACCACACTTGGTTAATTTTTGAATTTTTAGTAGAGACAGGGTTTCACCATGTTGGCCAGGCTGGTCTTGAACTCCTGAACTCAAGTGATCTGCCCACCTCAGCCTCCCTAAGTGTTGGGATTACGGGCGTGAGCCACCATGCCCAGCTGTATTCATTTTTAAAAGTTAATTTTAGGCCGGGGGCAGTGGCTCATGCCTGTAATCCCAGCACTTTAGGAGGCTGAGGCAGGCAGATCACGAGGTCAAGAAATCGAGACCATCCTGGCCAACATGGTCAAACCCCGTTTCTACTAAAAATACAAAAAAAAAATTAGCCAGGCGTGGTGGCATGTCTGGGGTCCCAGCTACTTGGGAGGCTGAGGCGGAAGAATCGCTTAAACCCAGGAGGCGGAGGTTGCAGTGAGCCGAGATTGCGCCACTGCACTCCAGCCTGGAGACAGAGCAAGACTCCGGCTCAAAAAAAAAAAGTTAATTTTAAAAAAATAGGTCTGGGCTGGGCATGGTGTAATCCCAGCACTTTGGGAGGCCAAGATGGGTAGATCACTTCAGGTCTGGAGTTTGAAGCCAGCCTGGCCAACACAGCAAAACCCTGTCTTTACTAACAATACAAAAACTAGCCAGGCATGGTGGTGGGTGCCTATAATCCCAGCTACTTGGGAGGCTGAGGCAGGAGAATCACTTGAACCCAGGAAGCGGAGGTTGCAATGAGCTGAAATGGCACCACTGCATTCTAAACTGGGCAACAGAGCTGGACTCCATCTCAAAAATAAAAATAAATAAAAATAGTCGTAGTGCAGCAGTTCACACCTGTAATCTCAGCACTTTGGGAGGCTGAGGTGGAAGGCAACACAGCAAGATTCTATCTCTACAAAGTTAAAAAAAAAAACAGCCAGGTGTGGTGATGCATGCATGCCTGTAGTCCCAGCTACTGGGAAGGCTGAGGCAAGAAACTGCCTGAGCCCAGGAGTTCATGGCTGCAATGAGCCATGATTGAATCATTGCACTTCAGCCTGGACAAGAGTGAAACCCTGTCTTTTTTCTTTTTCTTTGTGAGATGGAGTCTCACTCTGCCGCCCAGGATGGAGTGCAGTGGCGCCATCTCAGCTCACTGCAACCTCTGCCTCCCAGGTTCAAGTGATTCTCCTGCCTCAGCCTCCCAAGTAGCTGGGATTACAGGTGCACACCATCATGACCGGCTAATTTTTCCTATTTTCACGGAGATGGGGTTTCACCATGTTGCCCAGGCTGGTCTCGAACTCCTGAGCTCAGGCAATCCACCTGCCTTGGCCTCCCAAAGTGCTGGGACTATAGGCGTGAGCCACCATGCCCAACTTCCGCTTTTTTCTTTATTCTAGAGACAGGGGCCTGACTATGTTGGCAGGGTGATCTCAAACTCCTGTTCTCAAGCAATCCTCCCACCTTAGCCTCCCAAAGTGCTGGGATTACATGAATGAGCCACCATGCCCAACTGGATTGCTTCAGCTCCAGGGGTCAAGACTGCAGTAAGCCAAGACTGCACCACTGCACTCAGCCTGCAAGACAGAGCGAGACCTTATTTCTAAATAAATACACAAACTGGGCCAGGCGTGGTTGCTCACACCTATAATCCCAACACTTTGGGAGGCCAAGGTGGACGGATTAGCTGAGGTTGGGAGTTCGAGACCAGCCTAACCAACGTGGAGAAACCCCATCTCTACTAAAAATACAAAACTAGCCAGGTGTGGTGGTGCATACCTGTAATACCAGCTACGTGGGAGGCTGAGGCAGGAGAATTGCTTGAACCTGGGAGGTGGAGGTTGTGGTGAGCTGAGCTAGCACCATTGCACTCCAGCCTGGGCAACAAAAGCGAAACTCCATCTCAAAATAAAATAAAAATACATAAATTACATTTTCCCAGAAGGAAAATTAAAATCTACCCCCAAAGCAAGACCCCTGTCCTGCTTTGGGGTGTGGACTCCAGGATCTATGCTGAAGATCCCTGCTGCCGGGGAGCCAGCAGTGGCAACATCCTGAGTGTCACCACCTCCGATCAGCTCTGGGGATGAGGCTTACTATGGGACTCTCCAGCAACCTGTGCCAGGGCTTGGGACCACTCATAGTGTAGCTGAGGGGTGCTTGGTGCAGTGGCATCCACCAGCCTAGAATCCAGGAAAGCAGAGACAGGCTTGGCTCTCACTAGCTCAGTCACTAGGCCTCCTTGGGAATCAGCCTGAGCCTCGTGCTCAGGTGTTTTAAACCCATGTTTCAACAGTGACGTCTCCCCTTTCCTCACCCTCCCAACAACCAAAAAACATTTTGACCTTTCCATGATCTAGATTAGGGAAACTTCCTGCACATGCTTTGCAAAGTGGCACATTACCCCCTCCCCCACCAACTGAGCACTGGAGGGTCCCTTCTGCTCTAACAAAACTCTACTGGACCCTAATTTCTCATCTCAATTTGCTTTCTTAAGATTTGTCTCCTTCAAAAAGCAGAATGAAGAAAAAAAATATATACCCCAGTGAATTGGATTCCAGTTCATTGAGGCTTTACTGTAGGCTGAGCTGGAGAACCCTCCAGCTCTGTGAACATGCAGTCTGCAATCTGGGTACCTTTTATTTAACTTCAGGAATTCCCTTTGCTCGGCAAAAAGGGGTCTGAGGAAAGCGGAGCAGCGTAGATGAGGGCGAGGGCGGAAGCAGGGTGCTCACCAAAGTGGTGCCGGGTGCCGGCTGCTCACTGCACTCCCACCTGGGAGGGACGCGGGACCCACGGCAGGGGCAGGGAAAGTCATTTTTGACACAAACAAGGGTCCTGGGGCATGCCACCCCACCCGGTGCCTGGCCATGCAAGATGCTGAAATGGAGACTGTGGCCCCTCGGGTCGCAGCGCCCGGAGCCATGGAGCAGGTGCACCAACGTGAAGGGGAGTCCTTTGGGCGCTTCCCGAGGCGCCTGCAGGGTGTGGGGCACAGCAGGGTCTGTGTCCATGTCCGTGAGCACGGGCAGTAACAGATAGCACCAATTGGGAGGCCCAGGGCAGGAGAGCCTGAGTCTCAGACTCTAGCACCCACTTGCCCGGAGCTCCGGGGAAGAGACAGGTGATGGCTGCTCTCTCAGCAAAAGCCTCTCCCTCGCCCCTTTGCCCTGGGAAAAGTGGAACAAATCACCACGGTGAGGTCTGACCCGGGGACCCAGCTGCCTGTGGGGGATCAGGCCACTGTTGTGCAGTGTCAAGATGCTACTGCACCAGATTGAGGGGCTGGAGGCGGGAGAGACAGGCTGGGGGTGAGGGGGCACCAGAGGCTCCCACGGAGGAAGAGCCCTGTGGAAGCACAACCCGGGGTGTTTTGCAGCCAATCTGTTCCCCGCTCCCAGGAACCCTAGGAACTGGCCTCCTGTCACTTCTGATTTTGTTGGTGGGTGAGAGGAAAGGGAGACCAGGAGGGCCAGGCCGGCGGCCTCCCAGGCAGCGGAGGTAGGCGGTAAGCGTAGTGGGGCCGTGCACGCCTCTTCCCGTGTGATTGGGCGAATCATCTCACCTGCGTCTCACTTTCCTCAGTCACCAAGAAAATCCTGCCCCACCTATCTCAGAGGGATAGGCCAAGGGTGAACTGGATAACGGATAGAAAACACTTCTAGAAAAGTAGAAAGCGCTATTGAAACGCGAGGCAGTGTTGTCATCATGAAGGTGTTACCCTTAGCACATCCCTCGGCCTTCGCTTTTTTTCAGGGCATCTCCTAACCTTGGGACCTGATTTCCTGGTCTTGGAAGGGCTTCGGGACTCCTTGGTGGCTTCCCCTGATGACCATCTGTGGCCGGGTGGCCCCAGGGCACCGAGAGGGTGTGAGGGCGGTGCCCGAGCACGCTCAGCTCCTCTCGGTCCCCCGGAGCCTTCCCTGGCCAGTGGGTCCACCCTAGAGACAAGCTGGGCATCCATTTAGACCAGACAGATCTGGGGGGCCCCTGCCCCACCCAGAAGGCTCCCAACCGGTCTGCAATGCCTGTTGCCAATTTCCAGTTTGTGGCCGAGGACACTGGGCAGGGTGGTCGGTGCTTGGGCTGCCCTCCCCCGGCCCTCTCGATCCAGCCCTGCCCTCCCCCAGCCCGGCCCTAGTCTCGCTCAGGCGGTGGCGGGGGCGGCCGTGCGGCGCCGGGGCCCGGGCCGCCGCTGTGCACGCGCAGGTGGTCCTTGAGCGACTCCTTGTAGCGGAAGCTCTTGCCGCACTCGCCGCACGTGTAGGGCCGCTCGCCCGTGTGGATGCGCTGGTGCTTGAGCAGGTTCTGCTTGCGGATGAAGCTCTTGCCACACAGCGCGCACTGGAAGGGCCGCTCGCCCGTGTGCAGCCGCTGGTGGTTCTGCAGGTGCTCCTTGCGGCTGTAGGTCTTCTCGCACTCCGAGCACTTGTAGGGCCGCTCGCCGCGGTGCGTCATCTGGTGGCGGATGAGGCCCGAGTGGCAGTTGAAGCTCTTCTCGCACTCGGCGCACTCGTAGGGCCGCTCCTTGGTGTGGCTGCGGTGGTGGATGATGAGGCTCTTGCGCACGCCGAAGCTCTTGCCGCACTCTGGGCACGAGTAGGGCTTGCTGCGGGCGCCGTGCAGGAGAAGGCTCCGCCGCAGCCCGCCCGGGCAGCAGCTGCCGCAGCCGCCACCCGCCCCGGTCCCCGCGCCGCCGCCCCCGCCGCCCCCATCGCCCCCGCCGCCGCCGGTGCTGCGGTCCCCGCCCGGCGGCGCCTCTCCCGAGCCACGCTCCCCGGGCAGCGCAGGGAAGCCGTCGTCCAGCAGCCCACGGGTCGGGGGCCCGCTAGGGTTCTCGGCCACCGCAATCGGGGCCAGGCTCTGTGGCTGGGGCTGCGACTGCGGCTGCGGCGGCTGGGGCTGGGGCTGGGGCTGAGGCTGCGGCGGGGCTGAGGGTGGGTTCTTCACCATCAGCAGGCTGTCACCTGGGGAGACAGGAAGAAGTGACATGTGGAAAGGGGCTCTCAGCCGGGACCCCACGCTGCTCCCGGAAGGGTCAGGGAGCGTGCGCTCTGAGCCTCAGTTCCACTAACTACGAGGGACTGCACAAGGTGCTGGGCCACGATCTACATGGCCCTTCTACCTGCCCGAAGCCGCCCTGCTGTGGAGCCCAGAAACGGTCAAGCAGGTGGCACACGGCAAGGACAGGAAGTCCCTCAGGAACGCTGAGGGCTAAGGGGTAGGGGACCTGCTGTCCAGAAGTCATTTTGGAAGGTTGAATTGCCCAGAAACAACAAGACTTAATTGCAGTCTGATGGACAATGTTTTCTGTGTGTTTGTTTTTCCAGAGGGGGTCTCGCTCTGTCCTCCAGGCTGTAGTGTACTGGAAAGATCGTGGCTCACTGTCCTAGAATCAAGTGATCCTCCCACCATAGCCTCCCAAGTAGCTGGGACCATAAGCATGCGCCACCAGGCCCAACTAATTAAAAAAATTTTTTTTTGTTGAGACAGGGTCTCACTATGTAGCCCAGGCTGGTCTCTAACTCCTGGGATAAGCAACCCTCCCACCTTGACCTCCCAAAGTGCTGGGGTTACAGATGTGAGCCACTACACACATTGGCAATGCTAACTTTTATCTCAGGAAAGTCTCTCAATGGGAAGGAAGAATTTTATCCAAGGTGAAAAGCACCTAGAGGCCCACAGGAATGGAATGCAGGGAGCTGGAAACAAGCATTAGATGGATTGGCAGCCATGTTTCCACTAAGCATGTGGGCAACTGATTGGGCAGGGTGGTGTGGGCAGCTGGGACATGTGAGTCCCACCCTTGCACCTGACCCACCTGGACCTTGGCAGCACCGTGACAGGCTCTCCTTTCACCTGAAGCAGTGGCCGCCCAGCCTAGTGCCCCAAGGAAATGGTTCTTGCCCCATTTCCTTGCATTCTAAGGCCTCCAGGCCATGAGTGCCTGGAGCTCTCCACCATCTTGGATGGCAGGAGACAAAGCCCAGGTTCTGAGCATCAGAACAGTGACATCAGACCCAGCCCTTCCTCCCCACCCCTGCCCAGCGGCCAGCCCCCAGTAGTTCTTGTGCCTCACACTCCATCACCTCCCTGGTCTTCATTTGGAATTCTTTTCTCCTTAGAGGAGCCCTGCTCCCCAGTTTACGGAAAGCCTGTGGAAGAGCTCTGAAGAAGGGGAGTTTGTGACTCTCCCACTTCTTGGCATCCTTTTCTCCGTGCTCACACCCCTCTGCCCAGGGTCCAGCTGCTCCCCAGAGGCCACTTCTCCAGCCACATCTGCCATGCTTCCACCCAATCCTCCTATATTCATTGCTGTTTGACTGAGACCTGTCCTTATGTGATACTCTTAAATAGACTGGGCCCGGCCCTCCCTCTTTGTCTCAAGCAAAATCGACCTGGCAGAGAACCATCTCTGCAGGATACTGGCCAGGTGCAGAGACCAAAAGAATTCTCTTCACTTCAGTGCAGGATGCCTGGGAAGGGGTATCCAAGCTCCAGAGCATCACAGGAGATCGCTGTGGCCTCTGTGGGCATGGCACGAGGGTCTTCCTGCTACTCTCACTCCTTCCCAGGTGTATTCCCAGAGGACTTGCAAAGAAACCATATGCACATAAACTCCCAGGGGCTGTTTCCCAGGAAACCAACCAAAGACGGTCCTCCTCTGATCATTCTTCCAGCCCACTATGAGCCTCATTTTCAACCTCATCCACATTTTCAACCTCCAACATTTTTCTGTCTTCCTGACCCAACCTGCCTCCCCAAGCCCGGTCACACAGGCACTTGCTAGAGCACCGTGATTGCCTTTGCTCCTCTGCTGTGCCTGCCTGGAGAACTCCAGTCCTGTGACTGCACTCAGGTGGCTGAAAAACCACACAAGCTGGCCAGGCACAGTGGCTCATGCCCATAATCCTGGCATGCAGGGAGGCCATGGCAGGAGGTTTGCTTGAGCCCAGGAGTTTGAGACCAGCCTAGGCAATCTAGGGAGACCCCATCTCTATAAAAAACATTTAAAAATTAGCCAGGCATTGTGACACACACCTGTGGTCCCAACTACTCAGAAGACTGATGCGGGAGGATCGTTTATTGCAGTGAGCAGTGATTGCACCACTGTACTCCGGCCTGGGTGACAGAGTGAGATCTTGTCTCAAAAAAAAAAAAAAAAAAAAAAACCCTTGAGGGGCCTCCACACAGCATGGCAACCTGGCCCATGTCTCTAGTGGGTTTTACTTTTCTACTCTGGAACGATTACATCGTCCTTCCTCCTCTACCCACCCCACCCCACCCCAGACATGGCCACGAGGGCTTTTCCCTTCCAGTCCCTGCTGGTAAGTGATTCATATGCAAGCAGGTAACCTAGTTATGCTCAGTGGGGTATGAGAAGTTTGCCGGGAGACTTCTGGAAAGATTTCCTTACTCCTTAGAGGGGCCTTTCCTGTGCACTCATGTCTGGATGTGACACTTGGAACAGCTGCAGCTGCCGTGCTAACAGCCTAGGGATGAAGCCACACCAACGATGGCCAGGCAAGGAGCTGGAAAGACCCTGGGTCCTTGCAAACGTGCTGAGTCCTTGAATCAGCCTGAACCTGACCTACCTTAGGACTTCTAGTTACGTAAGAGAAGAAATTTCTTTTTTTTTTT